ACAGATGTTGCCAGTAGGAATGGAAATGTTTTACTGTATCAAGTAGCATTCTTATGAAGTTCAACTGAATGCAATTTCAGCATGTTCAGAACTGATGCAGATGCTGCTTTTTATGCATGCTGACTTGGCCTATTTGTAACATACACTTTACAAAATATCATTTTTGAGTGGCAAAGGAGATACAGAGTACAGGAAAGGTGTTTCAAGTTCATACCTAGTCTATTGCTGGGTACTCCATTAAAGTGATTACATTTGTGAATGAATGTACAATCAATTGGTGGAGAACTCTAGAGAACAAAAAGCAAATGCAAAAAGGTCAAGAAAGCAAATGATCAGGATGATGTAGTTTCCTCCCCCCCTCACTTCTCACCCACAGGCATGTCAAGTTTTGGTAACCAGGTAACAATGGCTTCTGCTTTTCTTCTCTTAGATTTTCATGCTTATCTTTGCTTTCTGAAAAATAAAATAAATTTTTAAAAGCAGAAAATTGAGTGTTCATAAAACCACCTTACGCAAATATGAGAAGCACAGAAATGCATTAAACCATGTTCAGTTATACTTACTGTAGAACTGGCTTCAAAAATAAACTTCATTTGAAGGTAGAACTGAAGAAGACTGCAGCTATACCATGCTTGTGCAATATTTCTGTTTACTTTCATTTTCACTCTATCAAAATTTCAGTAAACTGAAAGTCCTAGCTTCAGTGCAAATAATTATTATAATGATATAGGAATAATTAATCCCATAGTTATTTCTTAAAAAAAAATATTTCTCAGTGTCTTTACATAAGGCAAGATATGGGTGAGATGGAGAAATCCAACTCAATGTTAGATCTGTTTTGTTGGTTTTTTTTAAACATTATCTTGATCTTGTTTCAAATAAAGTTCATAAAATAAAATGCATTTTATCCCTTCTAATGAAGCTGTTACTCCATTGACATTTCTTGTGGCACTAACCACAGCCAACTGTCCCTAAATATTCAGAGTAAGAACCAATAAATGCAATATTATTTCTCCCTGTGTCAATTAGAATAAATTACTACCTGCTTCATTTCAAGAATATGTTACAGTAACATAGCCATGACTTCAAAGCACAAAAGAATTAAATCCTTCCTGGAGATAGACAGGGACACAGACATAGGAAAAAATCTCTGACATAATATTTTCAAATATAATTGATGGCTCCTTCCTACAGATATAATTTCAATGTAAGGTGCTGGATTAATATTTTCTGTAAAAACGGTCATGAACCTAGCAATGCTTAGGCAATCATACCAGAAAAGTTTCATCGAATGACTGGAATTACTCCTCTACTCTCGTCATTTATCTGTTTTTAGAAGAATGTTCAGAGCACAGTGTTATTTTTTTCTAAGGTTTCTATTCTAAAAAAAAATCCAGATCAGTGGAACAGAAACCACTAGTTTTGGATACATGGATCCAACTTGAAGAATGTGTACCTATCACAATTCTTCCTTACATTTTATAACTGTAGAAAATACAGGAAATACAGCCTGAAAATGCTTGAAGACTGGAAATGCCTATCTTCTGGGTTCATCCCACACCAAGACCAGGATGCAGAGAGAGGCAATAATACACTGTTCTTGCTTGTGCTACATCTTTTTTGTGGAAAGGCAAGCACTGAAGCTTGTTAATCTAACATCTTTTCTGAAAGTGCTAAACGTTAAAAAAAATAGAACAAGAAAGTACATCAAGAAAAAAATACAATGCAAGGAGAAAAAAGTAGAATGAGGGTTGGGAATGAAAGTACAGCTACAATTTTTACTTACAATTCCAGAGTCATGTTTTGGTCTTATATTGTATAGCGATTTCCCTTTTTTCTGCCTGCAGACTTCCTCTGCTTCTTTAACTCTGAAAAGATACAGATTTTCTAAATATTCCTCTAGACAAAACCGTTTCCAAAGATAATGCAGCATTTAACTTGCAAATATAGGCATGAGGACACAAGGAGATAACTTTACTGTCCACATTTTCATTAGCACAGTCCACAAAATAGCACTTGCACTCCGTGGCTGTTGTTGCCATACCACCAGGCTCTGGACCTTACAAAGACAGGCATAATAAATCGCATAGTCAATTCTACTAGTTACAAAAACAATCAGTAATTGAATATTCAATTACACCGTATTTAATTAATCAGTATTTGAATATTCAAATACCTCCAGATTTAGAATACACCTGATGATGTAAACATTACCTTTTAGAGCATTCATACCATATGCTGCTAAGAAAGCTTCTTTTTATGACAATCCAAAAATCATTCTTCATTGATTCCCAACTTCAGTACTTCAACTACATTTCAAGCAAAAGCTCTCACCAAACTATCTTCCCTTTCACCCAATTTGTTTGTATTTAAAATGGCAAAATAGCTTAACTGAAATTTCTAGTCTTTGTTCTCTAACTTTAAATAAAAATGGAAAATTGCAGAATCATTATTAAAGGACATGATGCTTACAAACAAGGTTGTACATGTTGCTATGCACATCTCTCTCTTTCCAAAATGGAGGGTTAGCAGCAAGGCTTATTTGACCACTGGAGGTGAAAGCACTTGGGCTGCTTAGATGTAAAGAGAAGAGCAGGTTCCAGAAGTGAGGGTTCACTTCTTAGCACTTACTGACCTAGGAAATGGTTCCAAATTAGGGCTTCTGAAATGCATCAAATACCACATTTTTTTTTAATGGGATAAATGTCTTTTTTTGTCATGCAGATAGAGGACAAACCATGAAAGGCAGAGGGCTATACTCCAACTGGGAGCCTGCCAGAATCAGTCTGGTGTGTTCAATGGCACACTGTAAAACTTTTCTTTACCATTTTTACTCATTTTGTAGATCAACCTTAAAAACACACATGGTTATTGAAACACTGATAACACAGATTCAAGTCATGAATTCTCTGAGCTTCAAAGACTTACTTAAATCCTTTCTGTATGATGGCACTAAATAGTGTGAGATTTGTAATTTTTTTATAAGATGAGAATATATTTATAAATAAGAAAGTAGAAAATAAAAAGGTAAATCCTATATTGTCTTGCTCTTGCCAACAATATGGACTTTAGATGGTGCTTAGTCTGCCTTTTCATCATTATCCAACAGCGAAAAAAAGAAAGAACAGTAAAATGATATTGAAGAAATGATAGATCCTTGGCTGGTTCCTTGCGGTTCATCTCCAGACTACTTGCATGTCTGCTATTTCACTGAGGCTACACAGGACAATGTGAGAATCAGACTTTGTGTTACTTTTATTTTAAATTTGGTTTTGTGTATGTGGTAAGGGCCAGATCTTGAAAATAAGACTCCAGCTGAGTCTGCTAAGCACATTAAAAATGCCTTCACATTAATCTCTTTTTTACCCAGCTTCACCAGACACACCTTGTTCTTTTCAAAAGTTTCAAATTTATACTTTCAAAAATTAATTTAAATGCCAGTTCTTTTCTAGCACTCCCAACAAGCTGCCCTCTTCATTTGATGGCCTTACATTTTATTAATGTAGGAAGATCTTTATGTGCACAGGTGGGGGAAAAAAAGGCTTTGAAACCTATTATTTTCAAGCTGCAACACTTTCTACCTGACTGCAAGTCAGATTGCTACATCATAACATAGAACAAAAATGTAAAACAGCCAAGTAATTCACCTTTAAAACATATTTAAATAGATTCAGTAAAAGCAGCAGCCACAATGTGGTGATAGCTTCAAATAAAAGATTATGGGAGTGACAGAGAAAGCAGTAAAATTCAGATATTTTCTTTTTTTCCAAAATGCCAATTTTTCTTCTGATTTGTCTACATACATCTGAAGGAGTAAAAGTATCTGTGACATTGACCTTTTCCAAACAATCAGACACATTCCAACCCATCAAAAGCCACTCTTGCAAAGTCAGATATAAAGTAGCACATCTATAACATAATTTCCTCTTTTTCAAATACAACTATAGCTGACTCCCTTCACTGGTAGACATCATTTAAATAAGAAAATGAAATGCTACTCTGGAGTAAATTAGTATCAATACTAATCCCAAGGACTGTACAAGTACTATTGAGGTTATCAAAATGACTGTTTTATAGAAGCGATGTAATATATGCAGGTATTCAGACTACTCATCATGCAAATGACAGCATATGTAACATACAAAAATATTTACCAAACCAGTTCACACAGATCCAGATGTTATTCTCAGAAAATGTCAGGGAATCTTTCGTCCCAGTTTTTGTCCCATCTAAATATAACCTCTCGAGAACAGATTGCCCGCTGCTTGCCTTACATACCAGGTCAAACAACAGCACAGCTCTCTGTGGGCTTCATGTTAATTCAAAACAAAAATCCTTGTACAGAACGGAACCCACTGATAACACAGAGACAGGGGTTATTTCCTAAAAAGCAGGTTGCATTAAGTGTCACTGTAAGCATAACGTCTCTATGTGTTCTGCTTCTATTAGCTATTTGAAGGAAGGCTGGCTTTGCTTGAAAAAGCAAAACCACCACCACCAGTTTTCTAGGGAGGAAGTCAGGACTTCTGTGTCCTTTAGACTGCACTTGAAAAAATGATCCACAACCTCCAGACTGATAAATGACAACCTTCAGTTTGTGCTACCCATTCTTGTAGGATTATGTAAGAGGTTCTGTTCTCATTAGTACGGTTTTGGTCCTCATGTTTTTGGGAGATGTTGTGAAATTCCTTGGAGTTTGAGTCTTATTTATTCATACCAAGGGGAATGCAGAAGATGACAAGCTTTACTCCCTAATGCACTTAAGACAAAGCTGAGAGCTAGTAGCCGCTCAGTTCCAGTTCCAACCATATCACTGACTCACTGTGTGGGTTTGGGACAGCTCACTGTCTCTTGGCCCCCATCCCACGCTTTGTGCAAGAAGATTCAGATGGTTGGATTGGGCCTCACTGAAGCCAATATGACCGATACGTACACTTCTTCAGCAACAAGTGTCCTTATAAATGTAGAGATAGCCCATGAAAGGCTCATTGTTAGGAGGCTTAGTTTATGACCATGTAAAACTCGAAGAATGAAGAACTGTATAAATCTACAGCTGTACCTACACAAGGAAAGTCGGCAGACTGGTCAAATATAGACAAAGGTCATTATTAGCTTTCCACAGTGCTAAATCATAAACCAGCACATGTGGTATGAGGGCAATTGTCTTAATTCAGTTGGAAAATAACTTTTAACTGTCACTAACAATTTTTTTGTCAGCTGCTTAGGTTCTCTCCACTGGCCCTGAATGATTTTTCTTGTTCCCACCTACACAACTAACAAGACTTAGGCAAAACCACTTTGCTTCTGTCAGCTCATGCCCGGTTCAAGTAACATTTCTCAATGTTCAAATTGTTTCTCAAATTCTTGTGTAACTTCCTCTTGTTCAGGTTTTTCCTGCACTACTTTCCACTGACTTCAATGAGACCCTGATCAGCGTGGAGGTGCAAGATAATAAACCAAAGACCAAAATGTGCAAAAACTGTAGGAACACTAGTGGTTCTAACATGAATATTGGGTTAACTATTCAACTATGGCGAACTGTTAGAGCTTCATGAAGAAATTCATGGATCTTACTCAATACTCAGAGGAGGAAAGAGGATATCTAGAGAAAACAACACAAGAGCTATGAATCTGTGAGCCTCCCAACAGTCACAAAGGGGGAAGCAACTGCAGACTCCAGACCAGAGTGACACTGCTGCTCTACCAGTGTAGAGAACTCAAAGAGCATGAAACAGTTAAAAATATATTCCTGGGAAAGAAGTGGGGATTCAATCATCAGGCCCTGTGGAAGATCGGCTGCCACCGGGAGAGGCTCTGGAAAAAGTCTGAGGAAGGTGGGTGTTCTCTGGTTTCTGAGAATTTATGACCCTTAGGCAAAGGCAGGCATTTGTATAGATTGATTTATTGTTCTGAAGATGTGTTTTTACTTAAGCTATTTAGCTCTATGTTTCTAATAGTACTTTCTGTTAGAGAGGCTGTTTGGTCCTTTTATAGAGCCATTGCCCTCAAGTGCAACCAAATACTCAGAAACAGGCCAGATGCTCAAGACATGATCTGAGACTGGGTGAGTAAGACAGAGGTGACAACAGACAAGATGCACTTTTGAAGAAGGGTGGTGGTACAGTTAACTTGGTAAGTGCGATGGGAATTCTTTGCAAACTTACAGTGTGCTAAACTGCTTTGCTAGACTGATACTCAAATTGCCTCACTTTGTACTTTTCAGCAGCTTCTCAAACTCACTGTCATTCAGTAAACAGACTTCTGTTCATTTGCTATCAACCCCTGTCCCATCTCATGTCAATTCTGCCTTAAAAGGGGACGTATTAGTTTGATAGGTATGAGACCACACCTGGAATAGTAATGGTTTTAAACTGAAAAAGTGTACATTTAGTTTAGAGATTACAAAAACATTACTCATTATGAGGGTAGTAAGGCGCTGGAATAGACTGCACACAGAGGTTGTTGATGCCCCCTCCCTGAAGGTGTTTAAGGCCATGTTGGATGAGGCCTCATGAAGCCTGGTCTCATGTGAGGTGTCCCTACTCCTAGCAAGGAGATTGGAACCTGATGATCTTTAAAGTCCCTTCCAACCTTAACCAGTCTATGATTTGATGATGAACATCAGCTGCATTGCCTTTAGCAATTTTTGCCTCCTCTTTTTACAAATTTCTTTGTTTTGTTTTAATGAGAACATAATCCTACAAAACCTAGTCTGCTCAGCCTTGACAACCACAGAGTTCTTCATTCTCTCTGTAGTAACCTGAAGAGCAGAGGTATTGCCAGCAACAGACCCAACATTAGGGCAGATTCTAGAAATACTTAGTAGGAGTGTTCTTAATTCAAATCTGGACAAATATATCTCCTTAAA